GTGGGAGGGCCCGGAGCCATCTCACTGACTCCTTCCTCTCTTTCCCCCACAACAGCCAACTAGAAGAGGACACCGCAGACACCCGTCCCCTCTTCAGCATCCCAGCTCCCGTGTTTTACTTTTTTTGCTCTATTTCATTTCTGCTCTTACACTGCCTTCCCAAGATGATTAATAGTGGGCACCCCCGTACGCTCCTGCCCCTCGAGGCATCGGTTGCAACCCTTCTGCTGCTGCAGGGCACCAGACGGGGCTGAGCTGCCACCAGGATCAGTGCCAGAGAGAGAGTATTCCCTCAAGAGGGTGGGTAAAGCAGGCTGGAAAATTATTTTAATGATGTCAGATGCGTTAAGTCCCGTTCCTTTTTGCACATCGGCATACCACAGTAACCGGGGAGCCGCAGGCACGGAGCTCAGCCCTGCTGAAGAACAGCCACTAATGCTTTCTTATGCTGAACAAACATTAAAAGCAGCAAAACAACCTCCACCAGCTTCTTAACTGACCCCCGTAGGTTGAAGCCCTGTTAGATTACTAGAGCAGTTTGTTTTTTTTCTTGTGGATATTCAGTTTTGTAGAGCTAGATGCTCACCTTCAGCTTTTACCTTCAGGCTGGAGAACAGCCGCAGCAGCGGGTAACAGTGGGCAGAGGAGCTGACCCTGGAGTCTCAGGGGCTTCTAGTTTTTCTGAATATATCTGATAATGACCTCACAAGCTAATTTTTTCAAATAAACTTTTGAATAAGAAAGCCTTGTAAGCAAACTCTAGCAGGGCAGTGCTTGCAAACAGTTTGCAGCTGTCCTTAAGGAAAAAAAGGGGGAAAAAAATATCTCTGTAAAAACACTCAGGTATCTGTCCTCACCCAGGATTGTACATATTCCTTGCCACATTCCTGGCCCATCACTTGTTTAATCTCCCCTGGGCCCTGGAAGCCCCCTGCACCCTACCACAGCCTGGGAGGCCAAAAATCACCTTTGGGTGGGGGGAAGAGGAGAGCAGCCCCCTGCACCACAGCCGTCTCCCTCCTGTGCCTGGGCTGTGTAGGTGGCAGATGGGGAGCTCTGCCCTCACAGCAGAGCCTGGAGCCAGGCTGCACAGCAGCTGCAGAGCCTGGATGGAGGAGCACAGCGGGAGTCCGTCCTTTTTCCTCATCTCCTAAACCCCAGGGCTGGGAGCAAAGCAAGGGAACAGGCACAGGCCCAGTACAAGATGCAGGGCAGCAGGTGATGCACAGACCTGCTCAGTACCTGCCCCAACACAAGTGTTTTAGTAATGAAAAAAATACAAACCAACACCAGAAGAACAAGCAGTATCTGCTCCTCCTCAGGGAGCAGGCAGAAAGTAACAAATTTTTTTCCCAGGGGTTAGAGCAGGACCGATGAACCCACTCCTACCTGCATCATCCTCCAGAGACAGCCAAGCCCTATCCGGGCTCAGCCCCAGCACCTGCCCTGGGTTTGGCCACCTCCCTTCCCTCGAAAGCAGATGAAGCAAAAATCTCACCATTCTTTTTTATTTTGTATTCCATAAAAAAACCCACAAAAAAATTATGCCACCTTGGCTGAGAACAGCTGCTGGATACAGTTGTTCAGTGCAACTGCAGGGACACGATAATCACTGCCGTCAGTGTTAGAATAAAAAGTAAACCCAAGAGCTCTCTTCCATAGTAGCAACCGGACTGACACCACAAATCACAGAAAGGAAGGAAAAAAAAAAAAAAGGGGGGGTAAAAGTTTCTCTTAAAAATATAGCTCTGTGGTGAGAAAGAGATGGCTGGGTGTCAACTATGAGGAAAGCAGTTGATGCAAGCTGGCTCTTCTCTAGTCAAACTGCCTCCTTCAGTTCAGTTCTTGTGCAACAGGCGAGCCGTCAGGAAGGGCAATAAATGTGTCTCTGGGCCCCAGCAGGGCAGGAGGAGTCAGAAAGTTACGCTGCTCTGCTCTAAAAGTCACAGTTAAAAGAAGTTATAAATTATTATTTAAAAGAAAAAAAAGTTGGAATTCTCCTGATGAGCTTCCTTTTCCTCTCTTCTGTTTGATCTTCACCCATAAATCCTTAATCACAGGGATGCGGTACCTTTGGGGAGAGGAGTTAAAAGAGTTAGGGACGGGGAGGAGGACAACAGCCTTAGAGCTGAGCAGAGCAAGGGCAGAGTCATCTGGTCCACTTCCAGGTGGCTACAACATCACCATCTAATCCACATTACTTTTCCAAGCTCCCTGTGGTCAGCAGGGACAGACAGACACTGCCAGAGGCCGCTTATCTCTGCTGATGACAGAGGACAGCAACGTCCAGGCTGGACATCCAGTTCTCAGCAGCTAAAGAGTTGAGGTCAAACACATCCAGAGAAGCCAGCACACTGCTGCATGACTTTCCTTACACCGCTCCACTCCCTGGCCCTCTAATCTAAGGCCAGGCTGACTCAGCGAGCATTTAGAGGGCACACCGTCTTCCCAAGACTGGCCCGGGAGTACTGAATTCGGCCAAGGTTACCGCCGTTCAGAGGTACCAACTGAGAGTCCCCACAGGCCATGTACCTTCTCACAATCCTTCAGGCTCAGCTGTTTTCTTCTTCTAAAAAGAAAAGGGTGAAAAATAAATCAGTATCATCTGCAGCACAAACATGAAGGACCCAGCAAAGCCACAAGCCACAGAGGCTTCTTGACTACCATCTCTAGAGGCACATATCCATCACAAGGAACACCCTAGCCTCTCTCTGCCCCCTCTTCCCAGCCCCGGGGATGGGATGCAGTAGCCTGCCAAGCCCTCAGGAGCTCCCATTTCTGCTGAAAACAACTTTATGAGCAGACAGCTGAAGAGCACTTACTCCCCGGGCAGGTTCTCTGCCACCACAAGGTAGGTTTGACCCGTCCAGGGAAAGGATCTCCCCTGGGGGAGTGATACAGGAACAAACCCTTCTTCAAGCCACCTCAATCCCAACCAAAGGTCATGGTGTCCCAAGACTAGCCACAATTAACTGCGGCCTCCTCTGTACTGCCAGCAAGGCCAGGACACGGCTCTGTTCCTCTCCAGCCTGGCATGCTGCAGGGATGAGCATCATGCTCTTCCCCCGGTACCCCATCCCAGGGTCTTGCACATACCTTCTTCTTCTTCTTGTGAACCTCAGCAGAGCCATCTGCTATAGGCTCTCCTTCCGAAGAAACCTTTTTGCTCTTCTTCTTTTCTTTTCCAGTCTTTTTTTCTGGGAGAGGGAAAGCAAAGTCAACTAAGAGAGGGACTCTGGTATTGCCAGTCTGTGAGATGGAGCACAGAGTGGTAGGAGCATCTCCAGTAAGTTTTTGATCACATCTGAACCTGAGCAAGCTTTCCAGAACAGTAACTGGGCAAGGGCAGAGCCCTGCTGCAAGGCAGCTGCCCCCAGGGCTGTTTCCCCAGTACCTCTGAGCCAGAGCGGTTTGATCCCACCATCCACGCACACGTGTGGGCAGAATTACATAGGACCCACCTCCTGCTGCCCACCCACTCCGAGGAATCGCTTCAGCGCTGGAGTAGCTGGGTGCATGCCAGAAGTCAGAGCAAGGGGAGTTACAAACACAAGGACAGACACAAGGTTCAGCTCAGCACAACTGCTCCGAGAGGCTCCAGCTCACCCCTGTGCAACAGCTCACGCAAGGGCTGATGGTCAAGTCTGTCTCCTCCAAAAAGAAGGGCTGCATCTCTGCAGAACAGAAACCCTGGCAGATCTGGCCTACTCATGCCATCTCCTTTTTTTTTTT